CCCACCCCAGTGCCTCAATCCCTTCCCTACCCTGATTCATCCACGCGTCATTCCAGCTGCCCCGCGAGCAGCTTGTGCAATGATTTGGAGTGCATCGAATGCTTTTTTCATATAGTGCAATGTGTGATCACAAATTTTACCTCAGATTGATAGCACAACATAGATTGGTCCGTAATCCGTAACTCTGCTAGCAGTTAGGCCATCTTTTCTTCAGCTTAATGCTTTCACTAATGCTTTTGTGCCCACAGCAGTGATCTGCTCTTGCTAAAGCGTACTCTACGGTCGCCCTCCCCCTCTCCCCAGTCGTACCTCCCCATTAACTCCACCACACCCTACCCTTTCCTCAAACCGATTTTTTCCTTATCTTGTCTCACTGCACGTGCTCGCGTTCAGCTGCCAAGCGAGCAGTCCATGCAATGGCTCGGGTTGAAATATCACCCTAAATTGATAGCACATTATAGATTGCCCTGCAACTCTCCTTTCTTCTGTTTGTCGCTTTCACTAATGCTTCTGTTTCCGCCGTCATGGGGCACTCCGTACCCTGTCCCACTGCACCCACGTCCAGCTGCCACGCGAGTAGCCAATCAACCCCACTCCCCTCGCTCCACCCCTTCCTTGCCCCCCCCCCCTTACCTTACCTTCTCCCCCATGTCCGCAAACACCTGCTCCCATCCCGCGCTCGCGTCGAGCTGCCACGCGAGCAGCACACGCATGGCTCGGAGTGCCCTGGTGGTTGTCTTATATAGTGGAGTTATCGCAATCAAAACAGCGGTTTGATACATCTGCACCAATTGCTGTCAAAATTGGCTAGCGGTCGTTTTCTTCTTTCACGAACATGTTTAATCCCGTGAAGCATTTTGCGGACGGACATACATACATACATACATACATACATACATACATACATACATACATACATACATACATACATACATACATGCATGCACACCGACAAACATGCCAACGACACAAAGTTTCTGCTTTATAGAATAGAAAGATTACCACTCTTTGGCTGTTAGTGTTCATTTTGTAATAGACAAGTGCTCACCTCTATTGCCTAAGTTTTTATGCTGTGGTAGTTGCTATTGCGCTATCTCATGTATTACTGGTTGTGATATAGTTATCGGATACTTTTCCTAACACTTTTTAGGACTATAGTGATATACTGTTCGTATGTTTTCAAGCCTGTGCAAGATTGGATGGCTTTATTACTAGGCCTACGTTTCGGCGTCTTCGCCTTCGTCTGAGCCTGAAATGGACAAAAAACAGATGTAACTTGCCCGCTCAAGCGCCTAAACAATCCCCAAGACAATTTCCCTAGACTAGTAAAGCATCCCAACGATATCAATCAATAGTATTATGGCTCACCTGATCAGCCGCCGCTATGCGGGGTCGACCACCCTGAGGAACACTTAATCGAGAAGTAACATTACCATTCACCCTCCTCGACCTCACGATAGATCAAAAATTGCAAAGTTACCCCGCTTGGAGCCCATCGGGTTCAACATGATATTGGCCAATATCGTCGCCGTGGGCGGTCGGTTGCTGCTGCTGTTCTGTGCATATTCTGGACTACGAATACTTTCTCCTGAATCTGCTGTGACTAAACAGCGTGGTATTCTTATTGAACTTCATTCTTGACGACAGCTGCTGATTTTATCCATATTCTGTCGCATTTGGACTTGTATTCAGCACACTGTGGACTGCGTGAATCGTCGATACGACCAGCTAAGTTATATTGATTTTGATCATGTCGCAAGTTAGGACGCGATCTCGCCAGTCTGCTGCTGTAAAAGCAGTTTCATCGAATAGTGTGGTTGATGGCCCAACAGAAATTGAGGTTTCAAGGATGACAGTTTCGGAAATTATCAGCGCTATGATGGTACGGAATGATGAGCTCAAGGATCCCGTTATGGCGAAATACATTATCGCGCTAGTCTCGAAGCTACGAAAACGATAGCGGAGGCAGTAGACGCGCGA